TTTCTTTGACCAATGAAGTAACCTTAGCAGTGGTGAACTTCATAATCTGAGCAGTAGTAAGTAAGGTAGGGTGGAGGTGGGAAATTGCATTCATTTAGGTTAATGCTTAGACAATGTAATCTCTGACAATTGTCAACTCGTTGCCCGCAGCAATAGCTTCTTTCAAGGCTGCGTAAGCATTGTTTACAGCAGTATGAGCAGCAGCAACTTCGCTAGCCATTACAGCCTAGGCGATGGCAGCGGCAACCCAACAGCCGAGCCACAAGAAGTTGAGCCAGTTCCTGGTATTTTCTCTTTCTTCTAGATGCTCTTCAGCTCTCTTTAGTTCTGCTTGTTTGTCTTTCAAATCTTTGTTTACCTGGTCACATTTTAAGTTGAACATTCTCGTCACAGATGCCATAAGATCCTTGATCTTTTGGGCGTTGTAAGCAGAGAGAAACTGATCAGCAATCACTCCGATTGCTTTTTCAATTTCTGCCCAATCGCTTTAAAAGTCATCAGTCCGAGCTAGTTCACTTTGAGACCAGTCGTTATAGACTTCCGTATATAAGTCTTTGTTTTTAGTAAAGCTTTTTTTAATTTTAGAAAGAACAAGGATTGATTGAGCGAAGTAATTCTATTGGATATTCTCCGTGTAGCCTTTCATGGTCGCTATCCAGTGCCCTAAGTTAATGAGAGGTTCCTTGAGCTCTGTAATCAAAGACTTCTAGAAGTAATCTTCTCCAGTCTTGTCAATGACTAATTAGATAACGTCAATCAGGTCTCTGGCTTCTGTGAAAATCTTCCCTATCGCTTAGATTCCATGATCGAAGGCGTCAAAAGCATATTTTGCAGCAGTTTGAGTGGCTGTGTACAGAACACCATCAACTTCCACGTCGTCATGAACTTCTTCCATCTTTTTCGAGACCTCTTCCATGGTTTTGATTAGTGCTTGAAGTTCAGCTTGCTTTTCAGCAGACAGTTCATAGTCTGCATCTGAAATTCTCTGAGTGGTTGCAGCTAGTACCTAAGATTCGAGCTCTTTCGACATTTAATAATGATGAATCTTTTAATATTGGAATAATTAAATTGGATACACGCATTAGTAAGATATGGAACCGATGGAGTAAACCTATAGCATATCTGATGTCAAAGAGACTGTTGGAGGCCTCTCTGCAGGCTAGCTCATGATCAGAACATTCTACAAAGAAGAAGTTCTGCTCAGGGAGTCTGAGTTCTTGTATGGTCTTGCTGCAACTGTCATTAACAAGGGCCTAAACGAAGGAATCCTCGAGCCTTTGTCGATGGAAATTAGTGCGATCAAGAGGGTCGTTGCCAGGCAAATCTCTTCCCAGGTTGCTACAGGACTTAAGGCAAACGTCAAGGCCTGTGCGGTGAGCCTCAACTTTGCCATTGACCAATATAGTTAGTATTGGCTCACTCACGCTGGCTGGAAATCAAACATATCTTCCGGTCTAAACAGAGCAAAGAAGATACTTGACTCTTAGTTGGAGCTAGCCACAACCGAATTTCAGGTGGCCGCACAGACCTACGAAGAGAGAGTTCAATAGATTGATGCTGAGTTTGCTGCTAAAATGAAAAAATTGAGTTCTGACTTTGTATTCAAGAATACTTTTGACCTCTTCGCTAACTTGTTAGCCATCTTTGAAGATCTCAGCATTCCTGAAAACGAAGCTGAGGCTGCTCTTGAAGCTATCTAACTCGCAGGAAAAGTAGCTGAGCAAGCTTAAACAATAAAAGATGATTTTGAGAATAACGTTTCTGGCTTGGAAGCATCCACAGCCGCAGCACATAAAGAGAGGGCTGACGAGCTCAAGAAGGCAAGAACAGAATTCAATACAGCAAGCTCAAAGTTCAACTAAACTTCATTGAGCATCGCCTCGGGCAAAGCGAGCCTTGAAAGCTTAAAAAGGCTTGAAAAATTCAGACTACAATTCTCTGACATACCGGCGGCCCTCAATCACTTGGTCCAAGGCTACAAGGAAGTTGTGGCAAAATTGGGCGAGATAGCCAAAATTAAAAAGAGCGCTGACTTCGTTACTGCTCTTAAAGACTACGTTGCTACTCTAAGCCTCGGTAGGGAGCAGCAAGAATTCGATGTCATCAAGTCTCACTTTATGACAGTTAGAACTGCTCCAACTTTGCCCAGCTTGGTGAAGCCAACAGTCTCATTCGCAGGACAAACCTTTTGAATGAAGATCTCTTTATTAACAACAACAACATGATATCATTTTTATTCAATGGGTCTTTAAATCCCTAATAATACTTTTAAATATGCATATTTATATATTCGTATAATATTATAATATGAAATTTATTTATTCATGAATCAGTATTTTAAGTATATTCAAGTATTAGGGGTTTTGGGGTTTTGGGGTTTTGGGGTTTTACGCTTTATTTTTCTTTATGTTTGACTTCTT